ACTATGAGATGAATATATACAAGAGAACGAATTGAGACGAATATATATGAGAGAATGAGATGAGACGAATATAAATATATAAATATAAATATATATATATATATATATATAGATATATATATATATATATATATAGATATATATATATATATATATATATATATATATATATATATATATATATATATATATATATATATATATATATATATATATATATATATATATATATATATATCGTTATATAAAAAAATGGTTTGAAGAAACATATATGTTCATGTATCGTGTTCATATATATATTATTTTTAAGCATTGTTCTTAAATAATTTGTATTTATTTCACCTCTTTACATCATTTTTTAATTTAAATATATGTATATTTTCTTGTATTAATTTTGTTTATGTTTCTACTTATAATTTATGTTTATTTTTAATACATTAATAAAAATTAATTTTTGAAAAATATATTGTACTACGTTGAGTCTACTGCTTTCATATGGTAGAATAATTAGTAAAAATTAACATTTTATTACTTAAAGCTAACATTCCCTTTTAGAAAACTATTTAATTATTTCAAAAAATTTATGCAAAATACTAGCTAAGGACTTATTTAAAACTAAAACTGGATATGATCAATATAATGCAGATCGATATAGAAACCAAGATGTAAATCGATAACTTCTTCGCTAGTGGCATTAACTGCAGAAAGAATGCAATTAATGCAGCTGCTGAAAGACAAACAATAGCGTAATTGTAACTGGAACCCTAACCGATTTGCTTTGCCGCACGTAGATTTAAATCTCAGATTTCACTTTCAGTAATAAATTATTATATTCAAATAGACAGTCGAACCAACTGTGACAGAGTTCGAAAGAAGTAAAGAAACAAAAATTGAGAAAGAAAAAACAGTCAAAGATACTGGAGAAACAACGGAGGTGAACCTTCTTTCTTTTCTTTTGCTTTTCCACGTGTTTTGTGTTTTATGTTTTCTTTTAATGCATGCATGCTTCCCGCTATATTATTATTTTAATTATATTGCTTTCTTTCATTTGTTATTGTTTATGTTGTGTTTTATTGTTTGTATTTTTTTCTAATGTTGATTTCTTGCTTTCTTTATACTCACCTGCTTTCTTTTGAAATCACCCCAACCGTGAAAATTGTATCAGTTATTAAAATGGTGCTTCTTCGATCACTTTTTTCAGCAGAAAAATATCTTTGATACGAGTTAAATTGTTTATGCTACAAAAAAATCTAAATAAAAGTGTATAATTTTACGTTATGTATTATATTTATTATATATGAGTCGTTGGATAACGGTTGACGATAAAATTGAAATTATGTGAATAATCGAAATTTCAATATATAAAAAATATTCGTACAACAAAATTTATTAAAAAAAATACCCCAAAAAATGTGAAGATTAATAAATCACAAAAAATATAAACTGTGTATAGAATTATATAGTGCAAAAATTAATTAAAACATTTAAAAAAGAATTTGTACATTAATCGTAGAAAAATAATTTAGTTATACTTTTTGTCATATAATGAAAATAAAAATAAGTAAAGGAATAATAATTAGTATAAAAAACATTTTTTCCAAATTATCAAAATATTATTTTCTGAAATATTTAAAAGCTTTTACAGTTTTTTTAGCTAAAATGTTGCATAAAAATGTGAATATTATATAATACTTTAAAACTTTCTTTAGGTATACTTTCACAAAATAATGAATGGGTTATTTTAATAAAAATATTGTGTTCGTATGTTTATATATGAATTTTATTTCTGCGTAAAATATCTTATAAATGCATTCATTTTCAATCTGAGGGCTTAGTTTTTAATAATTTGTTTTCAAAGATTTTATATTTAGAATATATAATCAAAAAGAGGACTTATTTAAAATGTAAATATCTTCAGTGATGTTTAAAGCATCAGAAGATTCATATTATTGAAAGATAACGACTTAAGTACAAGAAACTTAAAATAATTTAAATAAGTAACAATAATTTAAAGAAAAGAAAGCTTGTGAAATGTAACTGATTATTAATTTGTTTAATAATCAGTTATTGATTATTTTTATTGTTTTCTCGGTTTCATTTATATCCTTTTGAGTTTTTCTTCTGAAATAGTCCTAATTCTTCATTATACATCATAATAATTCTTCATAATCATAATTCTTCATTATACATTATATATATAAGTCATTATACATAAATGTATAGAAATATTATTTAAAAATAAAATAAAATTAATAATTATCATAGAAATACCTGTAATTCTGTTTAAAGAGCAATATGAATCACAATCATCATCAACCGTACGACTTGGTTTTAGTTTTCATTGTATTAGTTATCAAATTATTAAAATGCTTTCTAAAATAATTTAACAATCATATGTGTTAACATGTTTTTAGAAGTTTTGGTTATAAATAGCATTATCTACTAAAATTACCTTTTTTGAACTCAATACGTAATCGCATGATCAGATGACCAATGGTATTACTAACTGAATATGTTTTAAGGTGTGCTGTGGTTAAATAATCAAAAATATGACAATAATGTGTGTTGAATGCTCTAAGAAATATTTCACTTTCATGTAAAGATCGATGTTTAATAGTAAATAATGAGATGTTTTTCAATAATATGAAATAAATTTTAAACGCTGATTTTCATTTTTCCTTGTTGTTATTGCTGTCATCCCTTAGAAATATAGGAATGGTTAGATTTATAGTGATTATATTCCTTCAGAATATTATAAAGCGAAGCCAACTAAGTAAAATATGTACTTTTTGTTATAGAAATATTTTTACTTTAACAAAATAATAATAATTATGATGCGTAAAATAATAATTTTGAAAATAGTACAAAAATTGCATAACCAAAATTCTAAAAGGAAACTAAGTAAAATATTTTTTAAATTAGAAAAATTTCTAAATTAATTCTTTAAAAAACATAGTACCAAAGAATATAGAAATGGTATGAAGTTTATGGAATGCAACTCTCTATGAAACTCATTTATTTAAATGTTAAGGATAATAAACTCTTAATAAATGTTCTAATTACAAATAATATTTTAATTTTTGGACATTTCATAGTACATGAAAGGAACAAATTCTTTACGGGAAAGGAAAACTTTTTCTTTCCGGTTATTAATTTTTAGGCGGAAATTAGCTCTTTACTTAGTAAAAATACATTAATTTCCATTTTATTTTGTATTTGTAATAATTAAATATCTCTTTTGTTTTGTTGCATTTTGTACATTTAAAAAATGTCGAAATGTCGTTAACTAGCGTACTATGCAAGTTCGAAAGAGTAGAATTTTCCATATGAGATTCTTTGTCTTCCATATTACGTCCAAAGAACATTTAAATTTCTCGCCATGTTAGCGAGGAATTATGGTATTCCAGATGGATGTGGATCTTCACCGCTATCCAGTTTCATTGGATCTTTCATTAGAATTTATATATGTTGTGTTATATTTTTTTTATTTTTCTTTTACTTTTGTAGTAGGGGATAAAAACCTTCGAACACAAGTGTCCGTTTTTAGTATCCCTTTCTATTGACCCATGTAACATTTTTTTATGCATTATAATTTCCTATGTACTATATTATGCCAATTGGGCTTGAATGGCCGAGTGGCTAGCGCTCTGGCGCTCGGTACCACAGGTTTCGGGTTCGAGTCCCGGGGGTGCCATGGATGTGTGTAGGGGTTCGGAATCCACTTTAAACCGTAGGTCCCGGTCTAATAGGATCGTAGAGCGTTGCGGCGGCATTGTTACTCCGCGTCCGTGGCTTATCTTCAAGTTACACGCGCCCCCTGGGTAATGCAAAGTGAGTAACGTCTGTGCAGCGTTTGCCTTAAGGCATCTAAGACGTCCATGTCTGTTTGCCAGCTGCATTGGGAAAATATATATATATGTTATGCCAATTTGTAAGAACTGAAGTTCTGAATCCCATTAGTTATTAATTTAGACCTTTTAGCAATTACAAGTACACGACATTGAATCAAGTACTGTTAGCACATAATACGAGCAGGTCGAAAAGGCAACCTCAACATTCAAATTTATTAACTTTGGTAGTTCTATTATTGATCAGTAAGTAAGTTTTGTTTTAATTTCTCCTGATTATTTCTTTGGGATATTTGTTTGATGTATTACGTAATTACACGTAATTTCAGTATATAAAAGTTACTGTTAGACGACAATATGTGCAGAATTTTAAATGTAGTCTGTTGCTAAATATTTTATTCAACATTTATTAAATCCTCCAAACAAAACCTTTTGGATTTATCCACCAATTTTGACCTTACTGTTTATAATAAATCTGTATTGCAACCATACTTTGTTCCTAAATAACGATTATTTCGACCTTCCAGAATAATATCTTCAAATTGTTTAACCATCTAAAACAATTGATTCCAAACTTTATAATAGGTCTTTCATTTATAAATAAAAATCTCAAAACACTATTGTCGATAAATCGTTTATAAAATTTCTAAAAAACACATTTTAGATTAATTGACATGTATAGTTAAAAACAAAACACTATTAAAAACGACATATTTTTCTTTAATAAGTTAAATATCTACCTATCTGTCTTTAATGAATAAAATCTACACAAATAAGATTTTATTCTTTCAATCAGAGGTGGGTAATCAGAATCAGGAGTCCAAAAGTTTTTGAAGGCGTGGAATGGCGAAGTCTGTTTAAAAATCCGACTCTTATATAAAAACGATTTTTATTCTTTCAAAATTCTGTGAATTAACATTAAAATTAAATGTTTAAAGAGGAAATTCAATTGTATTCGTCAATAATGCAACCAATTGCAAAGACAGTTACAGATTTAATATCATTTCAAATAAGTGTGGGGAGACTTTTCTCAGTACTGAGACCTTTATTGGATTGGATCCGTCGTATCTTTTAATAATACAACCAGTTGCAAAGACAGTTATAGCTTTAATAGCAATTCAATAAGTGTGGAAAGATACTGGATACTTGACCGACGGCCACACCATGCTGAATATACCGGTTCTCGTTAGATCACCGAAGTCAAGCAGCATTGGGCGCGGTCAGTACTTGGGTGGGAACTCATCCACCTGGGAACACCGCGTGCCGTTGGCATTCGCAAATTTGGGACCTGAATGGCCGAGTGTCTAGCGCTCGGTGCCACAGGTTTCGGGTTCGAATCCCGGCGGTGCCATGGATGTTTGTAGTGGTTCGGAATCCACTTTAAGCTGTAGGTCCCGGTCTCCTATGACTGTAAGAGCTTCACGGAGCCTAAGTCAGACTTCTACCTACGGGTGCTCCATCACAACAGAAGCTGCTTCCTTCCCCTTCAATCATGAGTACGCATGGGCTCGTGGGCTTGGCCAGCCAAGTGGGATAAGAAACAACAAGATACTGGATCTGCAATGAAAGAAAATTTTATAGAATATAAGAAATCTTATAGAAATGTGATTTAATATTTTAAAAATATTGCATCTATGTGATTAAAATGTATAATTTTATTTTACCTATCTTCTGCTATTCTATAATACTTTGGTACTCGTTAATATGGTGCAATTATTTTTAATTTGACGTATGCATTTTTTGTAAGCGCAAGAATGCCTTTAGATTACAAGAATGTCTTTTAAATGAGTGTAAATATAACACCGTTAAAGTTGTAAAAATAATACTAAGATATGAAAAAAATGATTTTACATATATGACATCAATAAAAGTCACTGAATTTATTTCTCAAATTTTTCTAAATCTATTAGTAAAAATCATGAAAAATGTATAAGTTACGAGAGCTGTTTTCTTCAGTAATGCCAACGACTGACTGCTCTCACGTAAACTGAATGTTTGATATATTTACACACACGCGGCCATTGCTATCGATTCTCCGACACGTGTCTCTTGAAAAATATTGTGCACTTTATGATTTGACTCTGTTGTGCAGTTAACGGTCTTTTTACTTGTGTTTGTTCGACTGAAAGTAAATCATTCTTTTCCTCGTAATCAAAATGATTTACGGTAAAGCAATCCATGGATCCATCCCAAGAGTTTTGTCAAATCAGGAAGTAATTAATTGTATTTTATTTTTTATAATTAAAACAGGAATTCAATCAAAATATAGTACAATTGAAAAATACATTTTCAAAAAAAAAAAAAGTTACATTTTATGAGTCGCAAAAAAAGGTAACAATTGTAAAATTGTTATTATCTTTATCTTTTCAATTGTAAATTGTTATTTCTTTCTCTTTTATAAATATTTGGAATTGTTATTGTATTTGATTCAATTAACTTAATTAATTTAAATTCTCACTAATACTTTCCTGAAGTATTTTATACGAATAATCAGTAAATACAATAATTACTAGAAAATCAGTAATAACAGCGAATTCTGAACTCTTAATTATTTGTCGTGGAACAGTTTCCTTGTTGAAAATAATTTGACTAGCCTTCTATATAACAAGTGATATTAAAAAAAAAAAAAAATTAAGTCAATTCCTACATTTTTTTCACTATATTGCAGAAAAGTCCTTTACAAATAAAGTTGAAATTTTCCTCTTATATATGACGCCATCTATTATTAGATACATGCAACTTAAATCTAAAAAAAATAAAATTAATGAATTAATATTTGAAAAAACTGTACTAACATCCAGCGTCATCCCCTACAAGTTCAAAAAAATGTATTTGAACTTGAGTGGATGAAAAAAAAGTATTTTATTAACGATTGAAAATTTGAACAAGATATATATATATAGGAGAGTGTGAACTAATAGTAGGAATTAAAAGAAAAACAATTTACAGTAAAATTAATATATATATATTTTTTAAATTTAATATCCCAGAAATTTTAAAGAAAATATTTTGTATTGGGAAAATTAACTATGAAAAATTTTCATATGTAAGTATGATGATATTCGTTTCATTTTATATATCGTATATGAGTCACTTATGAGTATCAACATTTTCAATTTGATTTATGATATTCAACGTCATCACTGTTTAAATACTTTTTTGACAACTAACTATAAGAAATTGAACTTTGAAAACTAATGTTAATATTGTTCGATTTGAGCTATTCTGTAATTATTACATATAATTAATTGTAATATCTTTTTTTTTAAATCTTAGTGAATATGATACTGTCTTGTTATCACTCACTCTCTGTTAAAACTAACTAGTTAACTCTGCTTAAACTCACGTATACTTTACTAATATTCGCGTGATAAAATTTGCCAAATAAATAAATAAATAAAGCTGTGGTAGAATTTACAATCACCTAAAAAGATAGAAAAACTAAAAGAACCACACACAAAAGTTAGTTGGCGAAAAAGTATTTAAACAGTGATCGCGTTGGATATCATAAATCAAATTGAAAATGAGAATACTCATAAAAAACTCATATACGACTATAAAATGAAACTCATATACGATATGAAAATAAAACTATTATAAATGAAACTAAAAAAAAAATTAAGTATCATCATACTCATATATGAAAATTTTCATAGTTAATTTTCACATGACTAAATATTTTTAAAGAAAAATCTCAAACTCAGTGAGAAAATATTTTCTTGAAAATTTCAGTGATATTAAATTAAAAAAAAAAAATGATATTACTTTTACTGTAAAGTGCTTTATTTGTTGTTGTATAGAAGCTCATCATTTTTTTTACCTTAGTTATTATCATGTGTGAATATCATACTATTTTGCTATGAAACTCACGTGCACTGTACTAACATTCGTGTGGTAAAATTTGTGCAAAAAAAAAAGCTGTCTTAGAACTTACAATCATTTGGAAGTACAGAAAAACTAAAAGAACCACACACAAAATAAAAGTGGATAAGTTATGATTCTACTCACGCTGAGAAAATTTATATAAATGACATCACCAAAAAATGGGCGGGAATAAAGTAAAATATGAATAGACGGAAACTGTGTAATCAATTAGAAGCAGAAAGCTATAAAAAAGCAACCATTGAATGTGAAGAAATTTAGGGCTCTTTTTTTATATTACAGATTTCTTTTTTTTTCAAGTGACAGTTACGAGCTAGAATATTTGAATTATACTTTTTCCTAAATAGATAGAATATTAAACTTGTTTTTCCTAAAAAGACTGAAATTGAAATAACTATATATTTCTAAGTAGCTTATTTTAAATAACGATTGTTTGCTGAATAGTAGTTTATTAAGTTCCATTTATAATGTACATTATTTTCTCTTTTGCTATTTTTGCAATACAATTGTTGGAGAATTTAAGTGCTTTAGTATTGATTTACCCTGAGGTTTTGGAACATCTCCAAGTGCAGTTTTACTAATTTAAGATTTTTTTTCTAAAGCAATTCCAGCTTTATTTTCAATTGTGTTTCTTCTTTACAAATATCTCAATGATTAACTCAATAAACATCTAGCTAAAAAGAAAAAAAAATCTTTAAAAGTAATGAAAGAGAAAATTGTTAATATAATAAGATGAAAATTAAAGTGGTTTATTTATGTTGTCAAATTTAAGTGCGGGTATTTCAAATTGGATGGTAATTTTTGATGGTTGACTGATTGTAATTTTTTTTATTCCTCAAAATTTAAAAGTTAATCTATTGAGGGCATTGTATTTTGTTCATTTTGTTTTTCCAATAAATTTTCAATTCGAAAATGTAAAAAAATAGTAAAAACACATAAATATAGTTAAACATTTTTTTTAATGTATCTATATTGGGATTGCAAATTCACTAATTAATACCATTTTCTTTTATGGTCTCTACATTTGCGTAATAAATTCATATCATGAACATTGTTTATTCTTCAAAAATATTAATTATTCAATTACAAGAAAATATAATATAACAGATACAACATAGAACTATACAATTTATCTGGCTATTAATTACCTTTATTAAGATTATTTCATAACATGAGGATATTATGGAAATAAATAAGGCTTTTATTTGATAAGCTAATTTAATAAACATTTCTTTTATTGTGGTTCTATAGTTATTTTATATTCCCGTATATGAGCCGAGAATTTTTTAAAAAATTTCTAAAGCTAAATTATGGGGGTCGGTTTATATACGGATACGTTCAAGTTACAAAGTCAAGTCCGTAGTCAGGAGCAAGTGATAAATCTCTAAATATAGCACGTTTTTATTTCTTTGGTTTATATTTCTTAAGTTTATGAAAAAATAGTTTTAAATGCAATGAGTTATTCGTTTTTTGAAAATATATTATTTTATTTTCTATATTTCTGGTTTTTTGCGTTGTCGCCAAAACAAAAAGTTCTGATATTTGCGAAATTTGCACCCGGTTAACGGAAAAGTACTTTAAACTTGCACCAGAAATAAAAATAGAATAATAAACATTAATAAAACATTTTAAATAATAAGCATTACTTAAATTTTCATTTCGGCGTATATACGGGTTTTGAACATAGGATAAATTGAAGAAAAAATTCATTTTGTACTTATACGTGAATATGCTTATAGTCGGAATTATATGGGTTTGATTTTATACAAAAAATTTAGAATGAATGGAATCTAAAGTTTTCCATGTTTTGCGTATGAATCTAAAATTTTCTTCATTTGTTCTAACAGCCATATTTCTTGGTATATATATATATCCATGATACTCAAAATCATTTTTTCCTCTAGAAAACCGTATTTACAGAAATCAGTGAAAGCGTGAAAGTTGAGGAAGCTAAAGGTCCAATTGCTGATCCTTTCACTAAAAAGGAAAAAAGCGTAAGTAGTATAATTTCTGTTCTCTTACATAACATTTTTTTTTAATTTTCTTAAAAAGTTATGGCTGTTTAATTCAGAACATTTTATTTGTAATTTTTAAATGGATAAAACATATAATTAATATTCAATATTTTTTTTTCTTCTAGAAATCAATTTTTCCATCATTTTCTAGTAAGGTAAGAATTTTTTTAATTTATCTTAAAATTGAATAAAGATTTTTTAGAAAACATAAGTAGCGGTTGTTACATTATTTCTCTGTTTTTAATAATAAATTTTTCACAACTGTATATTAAAAAAGATTATTTAATTTCTTAAAGAAATACATTGTTCTTAAAACAATGCTATTCTAATTATACATTTTTCTACTGCTGCCATTCACAGTTTACCTGAAG